TGGGAATTGAAAAATTATTGATTTTTCACTGTGCATGTTAAGTAAATTTCCAACAGTGGTATCAGACTTTACTTTGTATTTGTTAGAAATTGTTTCGTGTTATATAACAATCAAAAGTTGATTGTTGATATTTTTCATGTTTTAGCTTTTTAAAGAAAAAATTGATTTTTAAATTCTAAATCTGATTTGGAAATGAAATTTAATTTTATAATAAAAAAAAAGAGGGCTTATGCCGGCAGCAACAAAACGCCGCTGGCGAAGGCGGCGGGGGGCGAAGCTGCTGCTGCTTCGGCCCACACGGCGATCGGTGAGCTGCTTACAACAGCACTCGTCGTCGCTGTGTTTTATCGTCGGGCGCTACTGCTAATAGTAACAGCAGTGCCGGCTCTCCAGTTGCAGCACACGGGCTGCTGCTTTTGCAGCGCTTCGTGCGTAGCGCTATCGGCAAACAGCGGCGACACTCACCAGTGAAGAAGCACCGGCGGGAGGCAAGAAAAAAAAGGGGGCGATTTTCTAGGGTTCCAGCTGGGTAGATTTCAATTTGGGGACGGGGGTCTCCCTTGCAATTTCTAAAATTTTGGGGACCTGTCTGCAATAATGGAATAAGGGGTCAATTTGCAATTTTAGATAAAGGGTATGCCATGCAATTTGATTAATTGGGAGGCTCTGTTTGTAATCTTAAACAAGGGGTCAATTTGCAATTTTCAAAATAGTTTTGAATTTAAATATTAAAATGGTTTTAAATTTAGTTTTCAAATAGTTTGTGACCTTAAAATTCAATTTTGACCCATTTAAAATTTGCAACTTTTTATATTTTCGTTAAAATTGGATTTTAACTTAAATATTAAACTTTGACCCTAAATTGAATTTGATTTTATTTAGGAGTTTTATTCTAAATTAAAATGTTAATTCAATTACAATTAGAGTTGGACTCTAATTTAATATTTAATTAAATTATCAGCCCTAGTATGTTCTTGAAATTAGAGTTTGACTCTAATTTGATATTTAATTCAGATTTGATTTTAATTAAATAAGTT